ATTAGTAAATCCGAACGATAAATAGGATAAATTGTATATCCTTGTCTTGGGAGTTCTTGTATTCCCACTACTTGTGCCAACATCAGAATCTTCATTAATAGTGGATTTTCGCTTATATCCTATCAAAAACTTATCCATTTGTCTGGAAATATTAGGAATAATATTATATTATTCTCAAAAAATAAAATTATTAAATGTATAAAAAAATAAAACTATTAAATTATTTACTATTATTATCAGTGGGCAATCACGTCAATAACAATAGAAACACAACCTAACACTGCTGAACCAATTAAATATTAGCTGTGACACGAAACAAATTGGTGAGCTAAACGTGTGTCAATCTTTTCTGGATGTGTGGAGTTAGTGCGCGCATCTGGCTTTGTTAAGTTGTGTCGGTCGAGTGGCGCCAAATTAACGACGGCCTTGGTTCAAAAGATTTGCCGGGGTCTTGGACGTCTACGTATATGGATGCTAAGCTACGAAATGTTTAGTTGAACTATGCGCGATAAAGCTCGATGGTATTTTTTCATTTATTCTCTCATTTTTTACATAGAAAACTTTAGCAGTAATTTGGAAAATAGTTCACTGTGACTAATTTTCGCGGCTCCCTTTAGACTAGTCCGCGCCTCCCAGTTTGGAAAACACTGCCTTAATCAGTCCTAATCAAGACGTGATTGCTCCCATTATAGCACTTTACTTGTGTTGAAATTCTTTGTTTTCTCTATCAATAGGTAGAATAATTATGATCATGTATATTAATAGCTGGATAAATAGGGTTTGGTCTCCAAAGTTTCTATAGTTGAGCGGAATCATAGTTCGCCAAATTCGATGAAATATTTCGGCATATTCATATTTTGGTTGAAGTAATCTACTTAATACTAAATTTATAGCTGTTTCCCCTGAAGCAAAATATTATCCAAAACATTATTATAGTCATTTATATTATTTAAATATATTTTCAGTTTATGTAATCATTCAACATTAGAGCCAATCAGAAACTTTTGTACATTCAAAACCAAAGTATCATTGTCTGAAATTTAAACACTCTGAAAGCCTAGCTTATGCCTAATTATAAAGTTTTCTCTGAATGGACTGATCGTAAGATACGCTTCTCTGAAAACTGACAGTGTTTACACAGCAGTGGCAGAACTACTTTGATCAGTCAGCGAAGAAACAGACGATATCAATACTCTTTAAAACATTCTACCATAAAGCACTAGACTTAGCGCTCAAGTCATCTGGCTACCAAAGTGGAAGAGCCCCTCTGGGGAGGAATAAGATTATGATGGAATGTCTTCGGATCACTTTCAGGATTGTTTCGCAGGCCGTTGCCAATAGCTTTTTGTGCAGCTCAAGTGCGACGTAAATTAAGTACTACTTCTAATTTCAGTTTCACGAAAAAATGTTTAACTATGTCGACGACGATTCAAAAAGTGCCGCATGTAAAAATGCTTCCCCAAAATTAATGAAGTTTTTGTTTATTATTAGAACTTAATTTAATCACAAAATTACGGGGTTAAACAGAAATAAAGCCAGAAATTTCGATTTTTCTTTGAAAAATTAACAAGATCCTCGTAAAACGTCTGAATTTTTAAAACTTTTAATTTTATGAGCATTATCATTATTTATTTATTATTTTAAATTACTAATAGTAGTACTTGTTACGCACTAGAGCTGCGAAAATTACGTTTTATTGAAATTACAAAAAATATTTATTTCAAAAGATGTTTTCAAAACTTGTTTTACATAATATATTTAAACAAAAAAACTTCATTAAATTTCAAATTGTTCTGATTTTATATGCTGAGCAAGAAATATTTTTGAGTTCAGTATGACAAAGGGAAAATTCCATTTCAATGAATTTTTATGTGATAGAAATGTACCAACTTACATGGAAATAAAATCCTTATATATCTGTAACATAGAAAACTTTTAAAAGAGGACGCAGAGATCGGACGTCGAATGTATGTTAAACCCTTTCAGAAGAAGTATGTATGCATATTAATACGAGATGTAATATGCGAGTTCCGAATATAGATGATGTCCGAGGGATTTTCAACCGTTAGATCCACTGATATTGTTCGTGGGATACTGTATTAGCTATGATACTGTGGACCATGAAAAGAAAATCGCAAGAATATGTAAGACCAGGTATCCTTCGTTAAAAATACAAACTGAATTGCAAAGAAATAAAAAGAAAGATAATCCAAGAATAACAGGTTATTTCCTTCATTTGTGTGTTCACTTTGTCAGTCTAATAGGTACAAAATAGGTACTTAAGGCATAAGGTGTCGTTGAACAGCCGACCTAATTTTGGGTTTGTGACTATTAATGTTTAACTCCTTAGCCTTGTAATTTTGAACCGATCCAGAAGACAAGGAAACTTCTGGATCAGTACCCCCAGAGGTATTTATTTGTTATGGAAACATGGAGGAATTTTGCGATTCGACAGATTTAATGTGCATCGGTTATCATTTACTACGCGGGCAGTCTTCGGCTGACCTGGGATCGAACCCACGACCTGTTCGTCATGGGCCTAGTTCCTTACCAACCAGGCTACCCCAGCCCGTACTTAAGACATAATCAATATCCATAAATAACGTATCTGTAGAACTGAAGCAGGTATTTAAGTGCGAGCCAGTAACAAGTCTTTCGATAAAAAATAATCGCTGAAAAAGTTGGCATCTAAATGTCCAAAGGGTTCAGACCTGGTGATCATGTTGGCTAAGCAAATATTCTTTTCTTTTTACTTTGTTACAGTGTTAGAAAATTTTAAAGTATTTTTTTCCAAACTTATCTCAATAATCTAAGCAGCATATAATTGAAGTCTTATTGGTATAACATTCAGGGGAACCAAAGGTAAGAAACTCTGAATACTTTTAGCTCAATTTCAACCTTCCAGTGTAAAAAAAAAGAAAGCTTTCTGAACTTTAATAACGAGAAATTGTCCTTAATTAAGAAAATATAAAAATATCATTTCTTGCCAAGTGTACTTCATAAACTTCAAATTTTTCTATTTCAGGATTCCACCCTTTGTGAGTCCCAATCTCAGCAGGGTCGAGGAAGAGAACTCCGTAAGAAAACCATGTTCTTTATCTTTGAAAAAACACAATTAAAATCATTGAAAGATATAAATCTGCAAACATTTTTAAATTTCGAAACATTGATGATTTGCGGCAAAGTAATGCTTTATATAATCGGTGCGCGAGGAAACAAAACTCCTTGAATTACTTTCGACTCGATCACCTACTCAATAAACCTGTGATGTAAATTTTTTTAAGAAAAGAAAGATAGTTAAAATTTGATTTCGAAGGAACTTTTCTGCCGTTTGGGGTTAAATTTTTTTATTTTATTTATTTATTTACTTTTTTACGTAAAGAATTACATTCTTTAAAAGGATGTAAAAACTTGGATACCTTGGAATTCGAAAGTTTTTCCCTATCATTACGTAAAATGAATAAACTCATAATAATAAATTAATTTCACAATGATGTGCGAAAATGTTTCAATTCACTTAAAATGTTCTCGAACTTCGGCCAATTTGCTAAATGTAAAATTAGCAGGAGGTTCAAACTTGCAATATTGGGCACTACATTGTGACTGCTCTCTGTGTTTAAGAGTTAGAAATCATAATTCACCGAGAAAGTTACATTTATTCAGAAGAAGTAGATTCTTGTGTTTGGTTTTGCAACTTAAAATATCGCGGACACTAATTATCATGTTTGAGACCACCCCCTTGAACCATTGAGTCCTCGTGCGTCCGACAGATCAAAATACAGAAACTGAAATAAACCTTTATAAAAAGACTTGCAAGCATTATAAAAATAATTATGTTCTCATAAGATTTATCTACGTGTTTCAATTTCGTTAAATAATTTTATAATAATTTATATCTGCTACGGTTTAGTTAGGCCTTATTCGAATTTATATTGATATTTTATTGGCGATTAGCAAAATAATTTTATTTTAAGAAATATTGTATACATTTATCCTAAATTAATGATTCTTGTTTATGTTGCATTTACTGATAGCAATTAGAAATTTTTGTGCTACTAAATAAGAAAAATGGTGACTGCTTTACACAAAGTATCGTAAAAGAATATTCTATTCTGCTGATGTCGCGAAACACAGAGTGGTGTTAAGTAAATTACGTAATTTTTGGTGTCGGGATTCACTACATTTTTTACAGAATGTTTATGAAGACCTACTTTCGATTATTTGCTAGAATAAGTCCCACAACCCTTTATGTTATGACATAATTAGTCATGTATAATGAAATGAAAAGGTTTGCTCTTCAATTGAGTTAATTTGACTTGATTCTCTTTAAGCGAGTTGAAGCATGAGATCACAGGTTGGACGTGAAGAGCCGCTTATCCTTGAACTGGCCGTTCTAGGATGTTTCTTTTCTTTATTGTCGTTTGTCTTTAGGTTAGTTAGGCTGGTCTCTTTTCCGTTTTCCATCCGGTACCCATGGCAAAGCTATTCTCGTTGAGCTTTTATTAAATTAATTAATAAAAATGTAATTAGTTTTCAATTTTACAAAGAAAAATAGACATGTCTAAACTAACGTTACTTCATTTACGTGTCCGCTGGCAATCCATCAATGATCAATCTGTTGAATGGCGAGCAATAGGAATAAAACTTATCATCCAATAGGACTTATCATCCAATAGGAATAGTGCCAACAGCTAGTTTCCATTCTCATGTCTGGCTTTGGCATCTCTATTAACATTTTATTTCATAACCGTCGTTGAACAGTCGACCCAATTTCATGGGTTTACGACTACTGAAGTTCAACTCCGTGACCTTGTAATTTTGAACCAATCCTGAAGACAAGGAAACTCTTGAATCAGTACCCCCAGAAGTATTGATTTGTTATGGGAACATGGAGGACTTTGAGACTCAATAGATTTAACGTGCATCAGTAACCATTTATTACACGGGGAGTCTTTGGCCGGCAAGGATCGAACCCACGACCTCTCGGACGTGGGCCCAGTTCCTTACCGACCAGGCTATCCCGGCCATCTATTAATATTTGTAAAAAACTGAGAAATGAAAGTTTTGTTTTGCATCTGTTGATATAACCTTTCTCTTACAGCCTTCCCCGAGGGAAGCCTCATCAGCCCGGACAAGACCCCTTCCACCGTAAGGATTTTTCTATCTTTGTGTCAATTATTTTTTTTATGTATATTTCCTTTTTATTTTACATATTTAAGAATACTTCTTTGCATTAAATTATGGTTTTTTATTCGCAAATAGTCACATGGTTAAAATTAAAGAAAAATGAATAACAGTTTTCAATTAAACATAATTTAATTTAAAGACATGCTTTAAATTGAAATTTGAAAAATTCAATTTTTAATTTTAAGCATATTTTTTATTTTATTTTTAAAAAATTTTAGGTAAATAAAACTAAAGTATTTGAAGAAATTTTGTACAAAAATCAGATTTTCGTAAAAAAGTGTTTTTTTTCTGTCTTATGTCCATGTATTAAGGATTTCACACTAAAAATATGAAATGTTAATAATATTGAATAGTATATTGCATAAATATTAAAATACTGCATTTGATTTCTTTTAAATGAAATCCAAATTCTTTTGTTAAAAATAAAAATTTTATTAGTAAAGATTTTCTAAATTTCACAACGTAGGCTATTTATTTGCAAATATGACCAAAATTAAAACATTTTTCTGAACACAAAAATTATTTAATCATTTGTTTCATTTAAATTTGATAAATGATGATTGTAATCATAAGACCTGATTTCAATTTATGTAAAATTATTATTTAATATATGTTATGTTAATTTTATAAATACTATTGCTTTTCTTACAGTCTTTACCGGAATCGAAGCAGACCTGCAGCAGCAATCCGGATGATTCAAGGGCGACCAAACCGGAGCAGAGTTGGAAGAATTGTTGTAAGATTATTATTATTTTGTATTTCAAATGTGGAAAGCAAAATTTTTTTTTTTAATTATAAATTTGTTGGTTAAATTCTGTTTTATACTATTTTATGTATTATACAATTTTATATAAGCACAAAAAAAAACATTAAATATAGATAAAATTGATACTCAAATGTAAAATATGAAAATAAATATTATAATATAAGTAATAAATAATGATGTAAATAGTATAAAAATATAATAATGAAACATACAAGAAAAATAATATGTAAACCTTTATTTCTGAAAATGTTTAACAAATGAGGAGCTAGCTATTCTATGTAGCTAAAGAAATAAATGCTGCATCTTTACACTAGTAATTTATGAAAATATTACAAAGATAGTTGCAAATTATTATGAAAAAAAAATTAAAATTAAAAATTTTTCGTTCAAGTATTTTTAATAAGTATGAACCATTTATATGATATTTCAAGGTTTTTTCGTTAAAGTAATAAATAACTCTTACTCTAAGGTATTCCTATCTCTCCTATTCCACTGTACTGTTATTACTATACTATTCAGTACTATTATTACTATACTANTTCTTCGTTAAAGTAATAATTAACTCTTACTCTAAGGTATTCCTATCTCTCCTATTATACGGAAGTACTATTATTCAGTACTGTTATTACTATACTAGTCAGTACTATTATTACTATACTATTCAGTACTATTATTACTATACTATTCAGTACTATTATTACTATAATCTTCAGTACTATTATTACTATACTATTCAGTATTATTATTACTATACTATTCAGTACTATTATTCATAACAGTAACTTATTCCGATTTTGTCGTGGAATTTAAATTCTGTTATAAAGAGTATCTCTTGTTTTCCTGTTATAGAGAGGAGTCAGTTTTCTTACAAAGAAAATAAACGCAGCGCTTCACGTTTTGTTCAGCTCTGTTATAGCGAGGAAAATTGCGTCTTCGCTCCCCATGCGGGGGAGTCATCCCCTCCCCAGAGGATCAAAATTGTGATATGTCTTAAGATTATTCTCAGGGATGTTTTGCAGATTCTCGCGCCAAATTCTTTTATGCAGCTGTAGTACTACGTAAAATAAATTAGACTTTTATTGCTACTACGAGGGTTGCTATTTATATTTCTGGCCTTGGCAACAGTAAGTGTTGCTAGGCGACCGCAGACGATTTTAATCGAAAGTTTGATATTTTTAAACATAAATTCAGCAGACGATTTACCATTATAGCTTCATCTGTGTTGTTGACAGTAAATTGAAAAGTTTGCTATCATTACTATACTCTTCAGTGCTATGATTACTATACTCTTCAGTACTATGATTACTATACTCTTCAGTACTATTATTACTATACTATTCAATACTATTATTACTATACTATTCAGTACTATTATTACTATACTATTCAGTACTATTATTCATAACAGTAACTTATTCCGATTTTGTCGTGGAATTTAAATTCTGTTATAAAGATTGTCTCTTGTTGTCCTGTTATAGAGAGGATTCAGTTTTCTGACAAAGAAAATAAACGCAACGTTTCACGTTTTGTTCAGCTCTGTTATAGCGAGGAAAATTGCGTCTTCACTTCCCATGCGGGGGAGTCATCCCCTCCCCAGAGGATCAAAATTGTGATATGTCTTAAGATTATTCTCAGGGATGTTTTGCAGACTCTCGCGCCAAATTCTTTTATGCAGCTGTAGTACTACGTAAAATAAATGAGACTTTTATTGCTACTATTACAGAGTTCCTAACTTGCTCCGAACTGCGGATTAATATTTTCGGCTGGTAGTCATTTAATGTATAAGTCTAGGTTTAGTTAACTTGATTTATCAGATTTTCATTATTTCTATATATTTCAAAGGCTTATATGATGTAGCACTTTGTTACAGTTGAGTCACGTTGAGATTTTTAAAAATTTCCCAAAATTAACGAAGAATCTGCAACTTTGAGTTCCTTTTGGTTTTTAAACTATTTTGCCGAATTCGGAGCATTTCTGCTACTACTGTATCAAATAGGACATTGTCCCCCCCCCTTTAGGGGAGTTTTGAAAGGGAAATATTTTTCAAGTTAGTCTTCATTAAAATTTGTGATTCTTACACAGCTGCCATTGAGTAAACAAACTAGTATTTTTGCCTGTGATTGCAATCTCATTTTTGTTTTTGTAGAGACCCAGGAACAGAAGGGTACAAGTCATTGTACGACGATATCCACTGGAACTGTCACTCCAACACCCGACTTTGCGACAGTAAGTTTTTTCCCCTGTCATTTGTTTGCTTTTTTGCGACAATCTGTGTAATATTGCTTTTGTGAAAATTGCTTTTGTGACAGATCTATGTCTAAATTGAGGAAGTGGCCTGAAAAATTGTGATGCTATGCTTTTGGATCATCTTCAGGGTTGTTTCCCATATTGTCACCAATAGATTATTATGCAGCCATAGTTTTCGATCCTGCATATTTGTTTTTTTCATTATTAGGCTAGAAATATAAATAGCAACCCTCGTATTACAGAGTTCCCAACTTGCTCCGGACTGCAGATTAATATTTTTGGCTGGTAGTCATTCAATGTATAAGTCTAGGTTTAGTTAATTTGATTTATCAGATTTTCATTATTTCTATATATTTCAAAGGCTTATATGATATACCAGTTTGTTGCAGTTGAGTCAAGTTGAGATTTTTAAAAATTTCTCAAAATTAAAGAAAAATCTGCAACTTTGAGTTCCGTTCGGTTTTTAAACTATTTGTCGAATTCTGAGCATTTCTGCTACTACTGTATCAAATAGGACTTTATCCCCCCTTTAGGGGAGTTTTGAAAGGGAAATATTTTTCGTATTAGTCTTCATTAAAATTTGTGATTCTTACACAACTGCCATTCAGTAAACAAATGAGTATTTTGCCTGTGATTGCAATCTCATTTTCGTTTTTGTAGAGACCTAGAAGCAGGAGGCCACCAGTATTAGTAAGAAGGTATCCACTGGAACTGTCCCTCCCACACCCGACTTCACGACAGTAAGTTTTTTTCTCTGTCATTTGTTTGCTTTTTTGCAACAATCTGTGTAATATTGCTTTTGTAACAATTGTGACAGATCTATGTCGAAATTGAGGAAGTGTCCTCAAAAATTGTGATGCTATGCTTTTGGATCATCTTCAGGGTTGTTTCCCAGATCGTCACCACTAGATTATTATGCAGCCATAGTGTGACATAAATAGAATACTTACATACCTTAATCCAGTGGTTTCCAAACTTGATGTTACTACGCCTCCCTTAAAAATATTTACTCAGTTGGCGCCCCCCCACCCTGAAGATTTCATAAAATAAAAACAAACATTTTTACTCTTATAAAATGTATTCATACAAACTAATGGAAAACAATATTTTATTACTGTTTTTAATGAGATGGATGTGCTTGTCTATTAGCACAAAGTTTATCAAATCTTGGTGTTTGTGACAGTATAGCTACTCGTAGCTCTTTTTCTACAACTAAACGAGCTCGATATTGGGATTTCATTGCAGCCAAGGCAGAAAATCCCGTTTCGCATAAATATGTTACGAGCGGCAGCAGTACTTTCAAAGCTTTGTTTGACAAAGTGTTATATTCTGTATGAAGATTCAACCAGAATTGAACCAGAGATACAGTCTGAAATTTATGTTTTAATGTAGTATCACAAAATAATTCAATAAATTTTTCTTTTTCAATAAAACTCATCCAATTTTCTTTGAAAAAATTTTTGGGGCTTACCAACATATTCAGAATGAATAGTTTCAAGGTTCCGTTTCAATTTGCCAGATCTCATACTATCAGCAGCCAAAACTTTTGAACACAACACACATATTGGTTTTTCCACAATATCGTTAATAATATCAGTAAATCCAAACGATAAATAGGATAAATCGTATTTCCTTGTCTTGGGAGTTCTTCCTTCCTGTTCCTTGCATCTTGTATTCCCACTACTTGAGCCAACATCAGAATCTTCATTATTAGTGGATTTTCACTTATATCCTATCAAAAACTTATCCATTTGTCTGGAAATATTAGGAATAATATATTCTAAAAAAATGAAATTATTAAATATATAAAAAAATAAAACTATTAAATTATTTACTATTATGATCAGTGGGCAATCACGTCAATAACAATAGAAACACAACCTTTTCTGGATGTGTGGCGTTAGTGCGCGGGCATCTGGCTTTGTTAAGTTGTGTCGGTCGAGTGGCACCAAATTAGCGACGGCCTTGGTTCAAAAGATTTGCCGGTGTCTTGGACGTCTAGGTATATGGATACTAAGCTACGAAATGTTTAGTTGAACTATGCGCGATAAAGCACGATTTTTCATTTATTCTCTCATTTTTTACATAGAAAACTTTAGCAGTAATTTGGAAAATAGTTCACTGTGACTAATTTTCGCAGCTCCCTTTAGACTAGTCCGCGCCTTCCAGTTTGGAAAACGCTGCCTTAATCAGTCCTAATCAAGACGTGATTGCTCCCATTATAGCACTTTACTTGTGTTGAAATTCTTTGTTTTCTCTATCAATATGTAGAATAATTATGATCATGTATATTAATAAAAAGAACTGATCTCAAAAAAGCATTAAAGCATAATTTTTTATTAGTTCGATGAAAGTTTTTAATTCCGACTGAGCGTTTTCTAGTTACCACTTGTCTTTCTGATTAAATGTGTGGTCTTCTTCTTAGGGAAGAAATGGGAACAAACTTAAGCATTGCTTCTTAAACAAGTAAGGTATTATTTCCTTTTTTTGCGCTGAATGGGAGGAAACCAATCCTAAATCCGTAAAATTAAATGCTCAGTAGCTATTTCAGATTTTTGTTTTTATATAAAAAGCACCTATTTTTTTTATACCGGTCTAGTATTGCAAGTTAAGTTATTGTTAACTTGGTTTTTTTTTACGCTAAATCGAATGATTTAAATAGTTTAGAGTAAACAGTTTTCAAATTTATAATGAGTCTCATAATGTAGAAAGTACAATTTGTTACTATTAATGCATTTGATATTGCTAACTAGGCAAGTGAAGTATTATTTCTGATGCAATCAATTAAATCAAAATTAAGTATATAGAATTAATAATTTAATGATTTACCCTTTTATTTACTTCATATCCATATTTGTTTAGTTTTATTTTATTTTGTAGTAAAAAAAAATAATAATCAGAGCTTAACTTGTCAATATAGCAATTGGAATAGGTATAGTGCTCTGCGTCATTATCCCCTCATCAAACTTATAATATTCGAAATAAATAAAAGGACTTCAATAATTTTTTTCCCCTACGTATTTAAATTTTATTATTATGCACTTAAACCTATTAATGTTTGTTGCGAATTGGACAGTAACAGTTTAGTTCCTCAATTGAAAAAAAAAAATTATCAATAGAGAATTCAATTCTATTCATAACACTTTTTTATCATGCTTTTCTTTCCACGAGCACTGTAAATGAAAGATTATTTGATGAGGATGATGAAAATGATTTATCAATATTTTCTTTTTTAAAAATTTATACGCTGTAAAAACTACGATGTAATACCAATTTGGATTTGGTGTTGAAAAACTCGAAACATGGTGGATTATTTTGAATTAAGATAGAATGTAACTTTCATGCAGACTTTAAAAGTTGTAGTTAAATCTAAAATTCAATAATTGATAGAGCTTACACCAAATTCAGATGCATTTACTCCATTCATAAATTATTTTCGCCAATTTTGTCGTATGTTTAGAAATCCTCAGACAATTTTGAATAGAAGGTGCAAGTTTGATTTTCTCTGAACGATGGGGAAAGTTCTACAGAAACTGAAATAAACCGTTATAAAAAGACTTGCCAGCATTATAAAAATAATTATGTTCTCATAAGATTTATCGACGTGTTTCAATTCCGTTAAATAATTTTATGATAATTTATATCTGCTGCGGTTTAGTTAGGCCTTTTCGAATTTATATTTATATTTTCTCGGCGATTAACAAAATAATTTTATTTTAAGAAATATTGTATACATTTATCCTAAATTAATGATTCTTGTTTATGTTGCATTTACTGACAGCAATTAGAAATTTTAGTGCTACTAAATAAGAAAAATGGTGACTGCTTTACACAAAGTATCGTAAAAGAATATTCTGCTGGTGTCGCGAAACAGAGAGTGGTGTTAAGTAAATTACGTAATTTTTGGTGTCGGGATTCACTACATTTTTTACAGAATTTTTATAAAGACCTACTTTCGATTATTTGCTAGAATAAGTACCACAACCCTTTATGTTATGACATAATTAACCATGTATAATGGAATGAAAAGGTTTGCTCTTCAATTGAGTTAATTTGACTTGATTCTCTTTAAGCGAGGTGAAGCATGAGATCGCAGGTTGGATGTGAAGAGCCCTTGCCGGTAACATTTTTGTTCTTTGCTGGCAAAAAGCGAATACAGGTGGTTTTTTTGCCAACTTTATTTGAAGTAAAGGTTTTATTGTCTGAAGCATTTTGTAGAAACCGGATCATTCTGCAGATTACCTATTTCTCATGCGTTGTTCATGTGCCTTAATAATGGATCATTTCCTTGACTCTTTCTGAAACATAGGCATTGCGTTAAGAAAAAGAAAAAAAAAAATTGTTGGAAGGGGGTGGGGGACACAAGAATATATTTTTAGAATTTGCTATAATTTAAAAAAAGTTGATATTAATAGGTGACCTCATAATATCATTCACACATTTATTTTACAATGATAAATTTATAAAAAAAAACTTTTAAAAATAAAATAAAATTTTAAAACATTTTATTCTAACGCATTGACTGACGTATTGACTGAAAATGTTTTAGAAATAGAAAAGTTCATAGTTTTATATAAAAATAATGCGAGATATGTCAGTCAAAATTAGCTTGAAAAAATGGTAACCTTCAGTTAAATGAGCACTCCATTAATTAAATTATATTAGATATCGTTATTAAACTGATTTATTATAATATATATTAGTTATAAAATATATTAGTTATAAAATATATTAGTTATAAAATATATTAGTTATAAAATATGTTAGTTACGAAATATATGAGTTATTAGTATTTTTATAATTGTTATTATTTGGAGATTTTTATATCGAGGAATAGATTTATTTGCTAACTATCTTCCTTTTGTTATTTTTAGAACTTTGATTATAAAGATGAGTGATAATGATGATAATACAGGACGGAGGGGAAGCTCTAGCTTTAAAAACCCCCCGTCCAGAGTTGGAAGGCGAATTCGCCGGTAAGTAAATTTTATTTTTATTCATTTTGAAAAAATGTTCACACTACCAAACACAAATTTAATTTCGGTAAATTAATAATAACATTTTTATATATTAATATTAAATATAGTACTTTGAAAATGTTCCTAATGTTAATTTTTTTATCAGTATGTTCATTTGTTAATTTGATTTCTTTCAGCTAACGTAC